AAAACTCCAAGCACCCATCTAAAACCTGGTGAAAACAAACCTGCCAAGGGAATGGTGTCCATTGCTTAGGGGTACAGTCAGTGGGGGCACTGAAAGAATAGTTACCCCAAAGAGGCCTAAAACCTCTTGGACCTTGTCCACTGTGCTGGCCAGAAAGCCACTGAAAAAGCAGGTGCACTCTCTTCTGAAGAGAGGAGAGAACACTTGGCTCACAAATGGTGGCCACTTATGAAGGTCTACAAATCTGCTAAACTACCTGGCACTGGCTCACCATCACCCCAACAACCCCCAGGTAAATATTAGGGCACTGGAACCCAAATTAATGTCTTACAACACAAGTGCCAGCCATTTGGTCCTGGCCATCTATTTTGAAATCATATAGCCCTATCTTAACCAAAGGTTACTAAAAATTAATTCAAAGTATAAATATAAAACAATTATCTACAAAAAGGTGAAAAAAACCCAGAAAACAAAGAAAAAACGTAAAAAATTTATAGATATAAAAAAGCATTTTTGGTAAGGAAAGTTATAAAACAGAATAATTGTGTATGATAAAATAAAGTAAAATAACTGGTTATTTAGAAAAAAGAAAAATACAGGGCAAAACAAAAAGTCCAAGCATGTTGTCAATGGTATGTGAAAGTCAGAATAAGGTTTGTGAAGGGAAATTTATGAAAAAAATCTTGGTATATAATTATGTTGGTTATAACTTTTCTCCAGTTCTAAAAAATCTTGGTATATAATTATGTTGGTTACAACTTTTTCTCCAGTTCTAACTGCTGTTATGGCTTTAAAGTTTTTTTTAATTACTTAGGAAATTGAGCTTTAAAAAAAAGTTTTTACATCATCATTTTGTATATTAAAAAAAAATCATGTATGGTACATTTTTGTCATATAATAAAATGGCTAGTTATTTTAAAAATAAGTATAGGACAAAAGTAAAAGGTACAAACATGTTTTAAAATGGCATAAATATGTCAAAAATGGTATGCTAAAGGTTTGTGAAAAAAAAAAGTAACTTACAATAACCTGTAATCCTGTATTATAACATTATGCTTTAAAAAATTTTAATACTTAAACTCTTCAAGTTCTCAATTTAGTCTCTCTATGGTGGGGTAAAAAACAAGGCCCAGAAACCACACCTACCACGCACCCTCCTCTTAAACTGCCTGCAGTTCAGGCACAAGAATTATTAATCCAACATAGGATAAATAACAAAATAACCTGGGCTTCACCCTCTAGCATATCAATGTTGTGAAAGTATATCAGACCTATTATAAAAACAGAAGAAACCATTTTCTCTTGCCAATGTTTACCTGTTTTAAATTCTCAAATTTAAGCTACAACCTAACTACATGTCTCTAATGTTTTCAATTTTTCTTTTTCAGACTTTGTCCAAGTGGCTATATTTCCTTGTTAAAGTACAACTATAGTTGTTAAAGTACAACTATAGGTGGCTCAGCCTATAATTCTGTGCCTTTGGGAGGCTGAGGTGAGTGGATTGCCTGAGCCTGTGGGTTCGAGACCCGCCTGGGCAACTTGGCGAGACCTCATCTCTACAATAAATCAAAAATTAGCCGGGTGTGGTAGCGCGTGCCTGTAGTTCCAGCTACTTGGAAGGCTGAGGCGGAAGGATTGCCGGAGCCCAGCAGGTGAGGCTGCGGTGGCAGGGAGCGGCCACAGCACTCCAGTCTGGGCGACCGAGTGAGACTCCAAGTCAAAAAAAAAAAAAGTACAACTATAAATAATTTACGAGGAGATATTTCAACTTACATTAATAAAGACTTTAGCTAATCATACATATAATGTATAAGACAACTATCATTTTTCCAATATTGTTTCTGAAACAATAACTGTTTTCATTACTGTTTCCTTAAAAATTTTTGCCTGTGCTCTTGCTCGGCATTTTATTAAATCCAAATAGTTTTCAGTTAAAGTCCCACCGTTTCCTGTTCATGTCCTTGAAAACAAATAGGTGGGGACATCTCTATGGTCCACCTCAACAGGATCTTTGTCCCGTTTTCCAGAATCATAAGAATATTTCCAGCCAGGCTCAGTGGCTCAGCTTGTAATCCCGCACTTTGGGAGGCTGAGGTGAGTGGATTGCCTGGGCCCACGGGTTCGAGACCCGCCTGGGCAACTTGGCGAGAACTCATCTCTACAATAAATCAAAAATTAGCTGGACATGGTAGTGTGCGCCTGTAGTTCCAGCTACTTGGAAGGCTGAGGCAGAAGGATCGTCGGAGCCCAGCAGGTCGAGGCTGCGGTGGCCAGGAGTGGCCACCTCACTCCAGTCTGGGCAACAGAGTGAGACTCCAACTCAAAAAAAAAAAGAGCAGGAGTGGGGAATAAAAAAGCAGACCAAAAGTGAAAAGCCACTTTTTATCTTGTTGCTAAACCCCAACACAATGATAAGAAAGTAAAAACTATGTCTGGAAAAAATACACGCTCTAGGTAAAAATTAACTTTGCCGACTTTGTCTTTTCAAAAACACAGACTTCTTAAACATAACTGGTACTGGCCTATCATAATTTGTCTTTTTAGAAACCCAAACTTCTCAAGCATGACCAGTATCAACCCATTGTATACTCAGTGCATTGTAACCAGGATCCCCTCAGGGTCTCCAAAACATCCACGAGTGGTCAACAAAAAAGTCACAACAGCCATGTCTACCTAATTACAACATTTCCAGGGGAAAAAATTTAAGCCAGGACTTGGGGGGCTACAGGGCCACTCTCATCTAGAGTGTAGGCCCACTTCCTGTCTGTGGGAAGTAAACCCTTCCTTCTCTTTTACCTTCAGAGAAGGGGCCAGCACCAAAGAAGGGCTCTGCGTAATGCTAAAAAAATCATGTTGTTTTTATGCCAATAAATCAGGAGTCATTAAGAACACCCTCCAAAAGGTTCAGGAAAATTTAAACAAACAAACAAACAAAAAACAAAAAACAAATCCTGATGTCAAACCTTGTTTAATTGAAACCCATGGCTAACTACCTTAATTACAGGTCTGGCCAGCCCTCTGCTTCTCCTCCTTCTCAGTCTACTCATCGGGTCCTGCATATTAAATTAAATAGTTTGGTTTATAAAACAACAAATCACTTCCTTAAAACTCGTGTATATGTGGGCCCATTACAACCCTCTACCCATAATAAATGAGTCAATACTTTGATTCATGAACAACTAAAGGGAAGGAATGAAATGCCTGTTAACAAACTAACCGTGGCACTCAGTTCCCCCCTTTTACCCCCCTCCCTTGTGTGATTGCCCCAACCTTCCAGTAAACTGTTAACCACGTCCTGCTTGGCAGAAACTCCAGAGAAGCTGTTCTGTAACTGCTAGAGATTGTCCTGTTACTGTTCTGTTAACAGTTCTGTAACCAGCAGGAAGCCCAGATAAGCTGTTCTGCAACTGCTCGAGATAAATTGTTCTGTTACTGTTCTGTTAACTGTTCTTTAACAGTTCTGTAACCAGTGGGAAGCCCAGATAAGCTGTTCTGTAACTGTTGGAGATAAATTGTTAACTGTTCTGTAACTGATATTTCCTGTTTGCATCCCACCTGATGCTGATGAAATTGCAGTTTTGGACTTTATAGACCCCTTGCTTGTTCCATTCGGGGTTGAGAGTTTTTCTGGCATAAGCCTGCTCTCAACCGCTTATAATAAAGAACTCTGTAATTTAACTCTCAGTGTAATGGTGACTCCTTACTAGCAGTGTGGCTACAACACTTAAAACAACACAGAATGAGGAAAGGGACAAATAGGAACACTTCAATTTTACAGACAAAAAAAAGTTTAAACACAAAAAATGACTTACTCAAACACATGCAGGTAGGAATAGAATCTAATTCTAGGAAAACAATCAATTAAATGATACTATTTTTCTATAACCGAAGTTTCAATCAAAAGATATTCCGGCAATATCAGAATTAAATGAAGACATTTAACATGAAGCTTGCAAGGGGCACACTGGAAATAAAAAACGTACCGCAAGTACTAAAGGGTTCCTGGCCATCAGAAGAATTCTGGTCTCTTTCTCTTACATAAAATGTAAGCTGAGTTGGTTTCAAAGACTTGAAGCCTGGTTTCTGGAGGTTTTCTAAGTAGACACTTAATCTCTTAAGAGAATTTTCATTTACTTCCTGGAAAAAAAATTAAGGGTATTTACATACAAAAAGCAACAACAACAAAAAAATCAGAAATTACATCTGACCTTTTAAATACATTATTGAGGCTATTAAATAATTTTGTATTAAAATGTTGGGATTTCATAGCTCTTTGGTAAAAGAACACGTAACAAAATGAACTCCATATGAATGTGATGTAAAAAATGTAACCACATAAGTATTAGAAAAAAACATAATTGAATTCCTTTAGAATCTCAGTGTGGGAAGTGCTCATGATTAAATATCCCGAAGTAATAAATGGTTGCTTGTTTAATTTATAATAACTTGTTCTGAGGTGTGAGAGTCCTGTGGGCAAGTGTTGTACATTTTTCTGCCAGTGTAAGACGAAATCTTTGTAATTATTTTTTGATACATGTTTCTATTTTTTTTTTCCAAAAAGAATCACAGGAAGAAAAACCCAGAAACTAATACAAATGATTATCTATAGAAAGTGAATAGGAATACGGTAAAGGTAACAGGGATAAGAGTGAGACTTCTCAGTAAACTTTGTATTTAGTTTTGATTTTTGAAACCTACACATGTTTTGCAGAATCTTACAGAGATTAAAAAATGTGCATCATTGTGAAATCCTGGACTTTGAGCTTGATGCTATGACTAGGTAAGACTTCAAGTCTGTTTCCCTTAGATAAGGTGTAAGAGCATTCTATAAGAGTGAGAAGAAGACTGAACTCAACATGTGTGGACAAGAAGAGTGAACTGCCTTCATGGGGCTTGCATTTGAGGAAGGGGAGAGGAATAAACAATAAACCTAAAAATGAGAAAACAGGGTACATGGAAAGGGAAAAAACCAGAAAAATAGACTGTAGCATAAAGAGGAAAAAGAATGCTGGGAAGGAAGGTGGAGGTGGCAATTTAAAATAGGGTAGTCTTTGCTAGGGATGCAGGTTCAAAAGTTAAAACAAACAAACAAATCTCCCAGCAAACAACAGTAAAATAGGGTAGCCTGGAGAGCCTCACTGAAAGGTGACACTTTAATGAGAAAGTAAAGGACAAGCCCTATTTAGGATACTGGGAAAAACGATGTGCCAAGCAGAGGGAGCAGCTTAGTGCAAGGGCTTGGCACAGAGTAGGGGGTCAATAAATACAAGTTGAAAGAGAAAATGAAAATATAAATTTATCAGAACAATTACTCCAGGCACACTGTGTCAGGGATCCCGAAGAACACCCTCAGGATCAGTCATTTGCTAGAAGGACTCACAGAATGCAGAAAAGTTGTTTTACTAATTTTTATGGTTTATTACAGCAAAAGGATATGGAATAAAATCAGCAAAGGAAAAAGATATATAGAGCAGAGTCCAGGAGAGACCAGATATAAGTTTCCAGTTGTCATTTCACAATGGAGTTTTACAGACAGTGTTTAATCCCCCCAGCAGTGATGTGTGACAATATCTGAGAAGTGTTGCCAACCAGCAAAGCTCATCCAAATGTTGATGTCCAGGATTTTACTGGGAGTCAGTTAGATAACATGCAGTACCCATGTAACTCCATTATCTATTCAGTCTGTGTCTCCTTTGCCCCAACCAGGTGAAAATGATACAGTGTAGCATAGGGCTCATACACAGAAGTACCGGTATTTACTATAAATCACATTGTTAGCATAAACTATCTGGCATAGCCCAAAAACTCACGCAGAGAGAAATTCCTATCAGGCAGGATTTCCAAAGGTCTCAGAGTCCATCTCCCAGGAGCCAGTCAAGGGCCAGTACTGAAGTCACACATTCTTTTGGAATATGCAATGTTTAAGCAACCCAAGCTTGTTGAGTTAACCCTTCACAGTACATAGAAGTTTTTTAAAATTTTGTTTTCTTTTGCTTAAAGATAAGTTCTTGCTATGTTGTCCAGGCTAGACTTAAACTCTTGGGCTTAGTCTTCCTGCCTCAGCCTCTCCAGTAGCTGGGGACTACGTGTGTGCCACTGCACCTGGCTGCATACAGAAGTTTTAATTTTAAAAGATACATAGGTAGAAGGGGAGAAAACATCAAACTATTACTAGGCTTAATTTTTCCATACATGTTGAATTTTAAAACTTTCAATTATTAATACGTCCCCAAGATAATGAATATTTTCCTATTAATTCAATTTATTGATTACTTAGAAAGGTTCTGGCTTTGAATAACCAACATGTGTATCAAAGATCACAAACCAGAATATTTTCCTAGAGCAAAGAAGCAAAATTGATTTATTTTCCACTGCTAGTAGAAAATAATAATATAACAATATTCTAATTTTAATTTAAGTTACTTTTCATTTTAAACTAGATATCAATGTTAATGAAAATAAAAGCATTTGGCTTTGTAACAAACAGTCATTCCTTGGTATCCATGGGGGATTTGTTTCAGGACCTCCTGCAGATACCCAAATCCACATATGCTCAAATCCCTGATATAATTTGGTGTAGTATTTGCATATAACCTACATTCATCTTCCTGCATACTTTAAATAATTGCTAGATGACTTACAATACCAAACACAACGTAAATAGTTATTAACACTGTATTGCTTAGGGAATAATGACAAGAAAAAAAAGTCTGTACATGTTTAGCAAAGATGCAACTTTTTTCAATCCAAGGTGGGTAGAATCCATGAATGTGAAACACACTGATACAAAAGGCTAACTGTATTTTCTAGTGGCAAAACATTCTGATTATCCTAACTAAATTTATTATAAGTTATTCTTCAAATCAGTTTGTAGTTCTTGACCACACATGACTAATGCAGGGAAGTGGTCCAGCAGCATGCAACATAAGGAAAAGCCATTAGGGCAGTGAAAAAAAATCATCCATCTATCATCCTTAAAAAAACCCAGCTGGTCACAGTAATAGAGGTCTTAAGTTTTCTTTCTAACCCTCAATTTTAAACCAAAAACTGGTACAAAAAGACACGATAACTAATACTCTAGTTTATATGACAGCTTTACTACCTGTACAAAGCAAAGTCAGATTTCATAAAAAATAGTTACATTTTCAATTTCTGCATCTATATTTCAAATTAGTTCAAAATATTTGATTATATCACCATGATAAATTTATAATCAAATCATCCAAATTTATAGAACTCTATGTATTATATATGGTATTATTAACTTTTCATACCATACATATGTGTATGATATGAAAGATAAATAAACTAAACAGAAATGTACATTAATGTTTAGAAAATAAATAAATGTTTACCCTTTCTATGGGGTGCTGTCCGAAGAAATCTGGATGTACCGCAAAATAGAAAGGCCTCAAGGCATTGACTGCTTCGGCTCCTGATAAAGCTCTTGAATAGAGAAACCAGTGGGAAAATATCTTCTCTAGACATAACCTTTTAAAAAGATGTGGCTTGATTATTCACTGAGACACATATATACACTCAAATCTTCAATATATAAAATGACAAAATTAAAAGTACTATGCACAGAAAATACTATAGAAACAAGACAGATACTTTGTGGTTTTCTGACATCTTTAAGTTTTAACAAGCAGTGAGTGCTACATGGTTTCTAAAACAGTGGTTATGATTATAAATTACTCTGGTACAATATGATAAATACTAAATAATAATAATAAGTAGTATTTCCCCTCAATAGTCCCCTTTGAAACGTCAACTGGCTTTACTGCAAATGATAAATGTTTTCTCTATATAACTTTTTTCTTCAAACTCAATATTCAATAGTGCAATTTTTGTCACAGAAAATATTTTAAGAATTGTTGTGCTTAAAAGGAGATACAAGATTTTTTTTGTTCATCTCCTCATTATTAGAATGCTAAAATTATTCTAGTTGAATAACTGGAACTCTTCAATTTTGACATAACCCACCTGAGAGTGTTTTAAAAAGACCAGTGGTTAAATCCAAATAAAATTATTTGCAATTTTTTGGAAGCACTTCCAAGACACCTGTTTTTGAATGTAATAAGTTACCTTTTCCATCCTAAACACTTTATAATAAAGTCTCTAAGCACTGCATACACTTTTGTTCCCATGTGGTAAGTGTGCTGAGTCTTTAGGAAGGTTTTACATTTTTTAAATGGTAGAATTAGATCATATATTTTTTACAATCTGGAGACATATTTTGAGATTGTCTTTTGTTTTTCACATGTATTTGAACCTTTTATGAAGTTGACATAAGGTTTGCACTTTAAGGATTATAACAGGAGTCTGAAGTAAAGGAAACAATCAGTGAGGTTTAAGAATAAGCTGGAATAAGTAAGCAGTAGTGACAGTTCTGCTTATTTCCTGGGAGCTTTGGTTCTCATTTCCAAATGTCTGACATACACTTAGCTCTCTTGCTAGTCTCTCAAATTTTATATAACTAAAAAGGGAGTATGGGTCATTATTTTTCCTTTAAACAGCCTGGTACAGAAGGTAAGGAAGCAATGAGACAGTTCAATCCAGGATTATCTCTTCTTCTGTTATTATGGTACCACCTTTCTCAATGTTGCCAAAGCACAAAACCCAAATTAGCTACCCCCTACCCATTTTCAGTCGGTCTTGAAACATCTTCTCACTTTACAATGTCCCATTAAATTATTTCTCCTTTCTATTTCTCTGCTACCAATAATCATCACCACAAAACTAGACTGTACAGCCTCATAATCAATCTACTGTCCCTTTCTTTAACCATATTGAGTATCACCAACAGATTAACTTCCTAAAATTCCACCATCATTGTATTCCTTATGCAAGCACTTCTGATGGCACCCTCAATTCCTGTAGAATAAAATCCTCTCCTTAGTCTGGTATGCAAAGCCCTCTATGATTGTTTCCTCATCCATCTTTCCAACTTGAACTCTGTTGACTTCTTACAGGTACCCTCAGTTCCAGCCCCCGATAATCTTCCTCATTCTTCCACTTTCTTCCAACACATTTCTTTAATTTTTTTTTTTTTTAAGACAGGATCTCATTCTATTGCTGACTAGGGTACAGAGATGTGATCATAACTCATTGTACCCATGATCTCCTGGCTTCTAGCAATCCTACTGCCTTGGCTTCCCGAGTAGCTGGTACTACAGGTACATGCCACCATGCCTAGCTAATTATTGTTGTTAATTTTTTACTTTTTGTAGAGACAAGGTCTTACTATGTTGCCCAGGCTGGTCTCCAAACCCTGGCCTCAAATGAGCTTCCTGACTTGGCCTCTCAAAGTGTTGGGATTACAGGTGTGAGCCATCATGCCTGGCCTTCCAACATATTTTCTAAGCCCTAATAAATCTTCCCTGCCCCTCACTTCCTCCTCTCCAAATTGCGCTCACTCAATGAACAATTGCTGCATACGCCCCATGTGCCAGGTGTTGTTCCTATTCCCCCAGAACCTTCCGTTTTGTATTCTTGTTACAGTTTCCCCCTTTTAAACTCTAAAAAAAAGAAACAGTGTGCCCTACATATTTGTAACAGAATACCATAAAATGAAACAAGAGTTTCATAGTATTCTTTTCACCCACTACTATGAATGGCTCACATGAATTTTATTTTTCCTTTTTTGTTTTTACTTTCCACAATAAAATAAAATAACTTCAGAATTTGAAAAATCACATTTGCAACAGAATACCATAAAATGAAACAAGAGTTTCATAGTATGCTTTTCACCCACTACTATGAATGGCTCACATGAATTTTATTTTTCCTTTTTTGTTTTTACTTTCTACAATAAAATAAAATAACTTCAGAATTTGAAAAATCACAACAAATTGAAATTAATCAAATGCATAACAGATCTCCGCTCCCCCCAATACTAATCACAGATTGGACCATGATGCTTACCTCCTCACAGGTCTCAGGTGGCAAAACATTTCTGAATATATGTGCACAGCAACTTCCAGGCATCCATTAATTGCTTAAAAAGTTAAGCAGATACCACAAATGAAAAGTGGAGTTTAAAATAAAAGCATAGGCAACCCCCTTGGGTCCCCTCCTGCTCTGGGAGCTTTTCTGTCCTCTCAATAAATCCCACTTAAAAAAAATTAAAAGCATATTACCATTTATATTATACCCCAAAATATGAATTGCTCAGGTATTAATCTAACAAAGTGTGTATAAGATCTATATGAGGAAAACCATAAAACTCTGATGAAAGAAATCACAGAACTAAAAAATGGAGAGACAGTCCATATTTATGGATAGGAAGACTCAATCTTTTTAGACATCAATTTGTCCCAACTTGATCTATAGATTCAATGCAATTCTAGTCAAAATCCCAACAAGTTATTTTGTGGATATTGAAAAACAGATTCCAAAGTTTATAAGGCAAAAGACCCAGAGAATGGCTAACTCAATATTGGAGGAGAACAAAGTTGGAAGACTGATACTACTCAATTTCAAGACATACTCTAAAGTTACAGTAATCAAGAGAGTGTGGTATTAGTGAAAGGGTAAACAGACTCACAGAACAGAATAGAGAGAACAGAAATAGGTCCATAAAAATAAAGTCAACTGATCTTTGACAAGGAAACAAAGGCAAGCCTATGGAGCAAAACAAAGATAATTTTTCAACAAATGATACTCAAACAATTGGAAATCCACAAGCAAAACAATCTAGACACAGACCTTATACCTTTCACAAATATTAACTCAGAACGGATCATAGACTTAAATGTAAAATGCAAAACTATAAAACGCCTAGAAGATAGCCAAAGAAAAAAATCTAGATGACCTTGGGTATGGAAATTTTTTTTAGATACAATACCAAAGGCACAATCCATGAAAGATATAATTGATAGGCTGGACTTCATGAAAATTGAAAATTCCTGCTCTGTGAAAGGCAATGGCAAGAGAATAAGAAGACAAGCCATATTCTTGGAGAAAATATTGGCAAAAGACACATCTGATAACAAACTGTTATCCAAAATATGCAAAGAACTTTTAAAACTCAACAGTACGAAAACAAGCAGCCTAATTAAAAATGGGGAAAAGACCTGAACAGACACCAACCCAAAAGATATACAGATGGCAAATAATCATGTTATCAGAGAACTGCAAATTAAATAACAATGAGATACACTACATATCTATAAGAATGACCAACATCCAAAACACTGATAACAGCAAATACTGGTGAGGATGGGCAGTAACAGGAACTCTCGCTGCTGGTGTGAATGTAAGATGACAAAGCTGCTTTGGAAGACAGTTTGGCAGTTTCTTACAAAACTAAACATACTCTTACCACACTATCCAGTAATTGTATACCTTGGAAATTTACCAAATGAATTGAAAACTTATGTCCACACAAAAACCAGTGCACAGATGTTTATAGCAGCTTTATTCATAATTGCCAAAATGTGGAAGCAACCAACATGTCCTTTAGCAGGGTAAACTGTGGTACATCCGGACAACAGAATATTATTCAGGCTTTAAAAAAAAACAAGCCATGGAGAAACTTAACTGCATATTACATAAGCCATAAAAAGACATGGAGGAAATGTAACTGCAGATTACTAAGTTAAAGAAGCCAATCTGAAAAGAAGACATACTGTGTGATTCCAACTATATGATATTCTGGAGAAAGCAAAAGTATGAAGACAGTATAAAGATCAGTGGTTGCCAGGGGTCAGATTTAGGGAGGGATGAATAGGGAGAGCACAGAGGATTTTTAGGGCAGTAACACCATTCTGTATTATACTACAATGGTGGATATTGCACATTTGCCAAAAACCATAGAATATATAACACCAAGAGTGAACTGTAAAGTATGGACTTTTGGTGACAATTATGTTCCAGTGTAGGTTTATCAACTGTAACTAATGTACTACTGAGGTGTGGATGCTGACGGAGGGAGGTGACCCAGGAGTAGGAATGGAGGTATATGGAACTTTTTTTTTTCTTTTTGAGGGAGGTCTCACTCTGTTGCTGAGGTTGGTGTGCAGGGGAGCAATCACTGCAGTCTCCACCTCTTTGGCTCAAGTGAGCCTTCTGCCTCAGCCTCTAGCAATCCAACTGCCTCAGTCTCCTGAGTAGCTAGCACTACAGGCATGACACTATGCCAAGCTTGATTTTTTTTTTTTTGTAGAGACAGGGTCTTACTATATGTTGCCCAAGCTGTTCTTGACCTCTTGGGCTCAAATAATCCTCCCACCTTGGCCTCCCAAAGTGTTGGAACTGTCTTTGCTTTCTGCTTAATTTTGCTATGAAACTAGTATTGCTCTAAAATTTAAATTCCTTTTTTTTTTTTTGAGTTGGAGTCTCACTCTGTTGCCCAGGCAGGAGTGCAGTGGCACACTCATGGATGCTGGGCCCTGCTGATTCTTCCACCTCAGCCTTCCAATTAGCCGGAACTACAGGCACATACTACCAAGTCCGGCTAATTTTTGATTTATTGTATGTAGACATGAGGTCTCGCCAAGTTGCCCAGGCTGGTCTTGAACCCACAGGCTCAGGCAATTCACTTGCCCTGGCCTCCCAAAGTGCTGGGATTATAGGCTGAGCCACCGACCCTGGCCTAAATTCCATTTTTAAGAAAAAGTTAAAGAGATGAAAGGGGGGAAAAGATTAAACTCACACTAGCTTTTCCAATAATTTAGATCTTTAGCAAGATATTCAAGTATACTATGGTCTCCATATCAAGTGACCAAGTGATTTTAAAAATCCTATGAGTAGTATCTTACTAGTTTTAAAATACCATATTATTCACATGATAATCGTCAGGTAAAAATATCTTTTTTCTGCTACTTAATTGGGCTCTGCGCTTTTTCCATTTTCTATTACTCCATTTTTTGTAGAGATCTGTTGAACAGCACATTCTCTCAAAACAAAAGTACTATTCTGTCAGATCCCACCCTCCCTTTTTAATAGTCAGGCCCAGTGGTTAGCACATACCTGCAATTCTAACAGTTTGGGAGATCAGGGGGGGAATTGCTTGAGCCCAGGAGTTTGAGACAAGTCTGGGTAACATAGCGAGCCCTCATCTCTATAAAAAAAATTTAAAAATTAGCCAGGCATGGTGGTGCTTGCTTGTAGTCCCAACTACAGAGGCTGGGGTGGAAGGATCACCTGAGTACAGGAGATGGAGGCTGTGAAGAACTATAATCATGCCACTGCACTCCAGCCGGTGACAGAATGTGACTCTGACTCAAAAAAAAAAAAAAAGCGCCAGGCTCAGTGGCTCAGCCTGCAATCCCGCGCCTTGGGAGGCTGAGGTGAGTGGATTGCCTGGACCCGCGGGTTCGAGACCCACCTGGGCAACTTGGCAAGACCTCATCTCTACAATAAATCAAAAAATTAGCCGGGTGTGGTAGTGCGCACCTGTAGTTCCAGCTACTTGGAAAGCTGAGGCGGAAGGATCGCCGGAGCCCAGCAGGTCGAGGCTGTGGTGGCCGGGAGCGGCCACTGCACTCCAGTCTGGGTGACAGAGTGAGACTCCGACTCAAAAAATAAAAATAAAAAAAAAAGATAAAATAAGTTTTTCCCTGTTGCCCAGGCTGGAATGTAGTGGTGGGATCATAGCTCAATGCATCCTTGATGTCCTGGGCTCCAGTGATCCTTCCACCTCAGTCTCCTGAGTAGCTGAGACCAAAGGCACCCTCCACTATACTCAACTGATTTTTAAGTTTTTTTTTTTTTTTGTAGTAATGGAGTCTTGCTATGTCACCCAGGCTGGTTTTAAACTTGTGGCCTCAAGCAGTCCTCCCACCTTGGCTACCAAAGCTCTGGGATGACAGGTGTGAGCCACTGTACCCAGCCCTATTTCTGTCAAATCGTAAGCATCAACATGTTTTTAAAGAATGTATTAATGATGTGCTCAATATACCTGAACTTAAGTAATGTAATGGGACACACCTGTCATTAAGAGAATGATGGAAATACATATTTTAAAGAAAAATTATCTTTTATTATTATTATTTTTATTTTTTTGGAGTCAGAGTCTCTCTCTGTCGCCCAGGCTGGAGTGCAGTGGCACACTCATGGCCACCGAGGTCACAGCCTCGACCTGCTGGGCTCAGGCAATGCTTCTACCTCACCCTTCCAAGTAGCTAGAACCACAGGTCCATGCCACCATGCCTGGCTAATTTTTTATTTATTGTACTGATGAGGTCTCACCATGTTGCTCAGCCTGGTCTTGAACCCCTGAGTCAGACAATCCTCTCGCCTCTGCCGCCCAAAGTGCTGGGATTATAGGCATGAGCCGAGAACTATCTTTTTAGAATGTGCATTTTCAAACAATAATCAATACCTCAATTTATTTTCTGGCTGACTGGTGTGGCAAGAGTTTCTTGGATACAGATTGTATTTACAGGCATTCATTTCAATGTTTAAAAAGTGTTTTTATTTAACCATTCTCATTGATATTTTGTTTGAGACAAATATACAAAGAAAATACTTCTACCATCACTATGAAGGTTACTGAGATGAAATGGAGATACCATGAGGGGAAAAAAAGAAACTTTTGGACTACTTGAAGTTTCAGTGTTACTAGTGAGGATCTGAATTCTCACCCAAATTCATTACAAAGTAACCAGGATAATGTAGACTTAGTTAGGATAGCACAGATACAAGGCTCAAAGCTTGCAAAGAAAAAAGACCAGAAAAATATACATATGTAATCTGTAGCAATGGCTATCTCTAGGTGGCAGGATATTAAGTGCTTTAATTTTTTAAATTTCCTAGTTTATTTACAATGAATATGTGAAATATATTCTTAAAAAATGAAGCAGCCAGTCACAGTGGTTTGCACCTGTAAACCCAGAGACGTGGAAGGCTGAGGTGGGAGGAGCACTTGAGTCCAGCAGTTCAAGATGAGCCTGGTCAATGAATCAAGACCCCTATCTCCAAACAAATATAGAAACAATCAGGACAAGTGTGCTGTCTCATGCCTCTAATTTCAGCACTTTAGGAGGCAGATGT